AGGCACTAAGTCTCTTAGACAAAATGTTTTTGAGAGCAAATACTGTAACAAAAAGTGTTACAAACAGAACCAATAATTTTGTGAGGAAATGCCTGTGATTGTCTCTCAAAAGTGGCATCTTGAAGTCTAATTATTATTCTCTATGAAATCACCATAAAAATCACACCAAAGCCTCTAAACAGAAAGAATAGACACTTTTGCCTCTCAGGGCAGTCGACTTTTTATTTACCAAAAGTAATCACAATCAACCCTCCCCCTCAAAAAAGCACTGTGCTCCATCTATAAGGACAGCCAAAATTCATCAGAAAACATTTCTGCTGCAGACCAGAACACAATCAGGATCTTCCTCGTGCTGACCAACACCCAGTGTACAATATTTTTTTCCCAACAAAGTAGTTATCAAAAACCAGTAAAATTATTTTAAGGTTTCATAAATAATTCATGACTGCATTTTACATACAAATTGCCTCTTCCTCCAAGTGAAATATTAAATTTACTTTTCAACAGAAAAATCAAAGAGATATTTAACAGTTAACTACAAAACAGCTGTATAATAAACATTTTAAATACACTGGATTTTTTTAACTGTGCAGTGATACAAATGAATGAAGGAACCCATATAATTTAGCTGATCTGTTTTTAATCTAAGCACAAATAGTACCTTAATAGTTCCTGAAAGTGAACTAGTATTGTGTGATCAATCACATGAAGCTTTTCATGATACATATTTCTTTTATTTTATTTTTGTAAACAGCTTAATTTAATTTTCTTGGAATCCTTCTCCTCTTTTAATTTCAAATTTAATTAGGCTGTAATTACAAATCTTCTCTGTCATATGCATAGCAAACCTGTTTAATCTTTGTCACACTACATATTAAAGTTAGCATATGCAACTTCTTGATACAGACCTTGAAATAATAACCTTTGACAGTTTGACCACTACAAAATAAACTTTTAAAGGTGACCTGGAAAACCAATAAGAAAATGAAGCTCAGTTCAAAAAGAAATGCCATATACCTCCAGCAAGCAGGAAGTAGAAGACAACTATGTTCTAGTTTATCATTACTTCTAGCAGTTTTTCCTTATTGCCAAACAACTGTAAACGTATCATTCTGCGACATCGCTGAATGGACTCAATACATTTGACTGCATCAGTTCTGTTGGCATAGGAAATGCATTTCTGGTTAAACCTGATTGACATTCAGCTTTCCTAAGACACCCTAAGTTATGCCTTACCAAGGCATGGCTTTGCATGAAGTGACCTTTTGCTTGTCTGTTGGCAGAAATACATGGGAGCCACACAAGAGTATGTGGTCAGCAAGGAACTGCCTCTGCAGGTCAAAAAAACCACAGGTGTTGAGAGCACTAGTAAAAAAAAAAGGATACAGGTCTATAAACATTTCTCCTACCAATCAACTATTACTGTATTGTAAATTTTTCTTCAATATTAAGGACTGATTTTTGTTTATTCATATTGCTTGGGATTTTGCAAGCCTCATCAATGCTACGGCAGATTGTAGAACTGGAAAACAAACCTTGACGTGAAAGAAGACAGGCAAACAATAAGGAATAAGTTTTCCTGTTGGTTGAGATATGCGGGGTTGCACAATAGGACTAGGAAGCAAACGTCCCTGCGGGTGACCTTTTCGTTTCCACACCAGGCAGAGTGAGGTATTCAGTGGATCCTAGCATAGCAGCAGCAAAACTTGTTTTTACAGTCTAACATAGGTCCACTGGCCTATGACTTTGCAAATAACTAGACAGCACATCTACATTTTGCCAGCTTTCTCGTATTACCTGCTTTTGTTTCTCTGTACTCAAATAAATCACAAGTTCACCAAACACCCAAATGAAATTAATTGAAGATAACATACACATATTCTGAGACAGTTAAGTTACCTATTGAATTGGTGTTAGGGATTAAAATAGTTTACTTGTAGAATATCAGAATTATTGTGTAATCACTTAAAATTAAGATTGGATTGCTGAGGCCTTAGGCAGCAAACCGTAACTGAACTTTAGCTGAACTTCTGCTTAGTTGAAATGGAGAAGTTTTGGGAGTATTCTTGCACAAAGAGATAAACTGGACCAAACTTTCAATTCAAGGAAAAGACCTTCAAAGACAGGAAGAAACCATTTGTCAAGGGCTGAGCCTGGCCTGGCCACTAACGAACAACAGATGCTCTCTATTCACCCCTCTCCCCTACCAGAAAGGGAAGGGAGAGAGAACAAGGAGGAGAGACTAACAGGCTGGAAAAGAAAACTAAAACAGATTTAATGAAAAAATAACAATAAAACAAGAAAAATAAGAAAATAATGAAACATATACAAATATATATAAAACCAATACTGAACCCAACACCCCTGATGACTATACATGTCACCACTGATGCCACAGGGCTGGCACTGGGGCAGTCCAGTGATGCACAGATCAGGATCAACGACAGAACAGACAGAGTCCTCCTCAGATGTCAGCCATCGAAGGAGACTGACCCTCGTGATCCCTCAGCTTTATACCGAATATGACGTGTATGGGATGGAATACTCTGTTGGTCAGGTTTGGGTCACCTGTCCGGTTCGCTCCTCCCTGGAGGTGTGACCCTTTTCACTCCTGGCATCCCAACACGGAGCACAAGATTTAGCAGTGACCTTGGTCGCTGTAAGAACAAGTATAAGCAAGGGCCTCTGCATACCATTCCTTGGTACGAACTATAAACATCAGGTCTTATCACTGCTAGGAGCAGTCATTGTCTGGAAAAACAGGCTGCTGTTTCAGAAAGCACCATTAGTTAGAAGAGACTTAACTGAAAAGTAAAAGCATTAAACCAGAATTAGTTCTGGTTTAGCCCAAACCAGGATAGCATTCCCCCTGAAGTCAACAAAAGACAGACAAAACCCAGGTGCAGATAAGACAGATGAAGGATGAAACAGTGTGAATAGATAAAATTCGAAAGATGTTACTCCAATCACCATAGAGGAAGAGTGGCTACTAAAAAAGGTAATTGGACGAACAGGCCATGCATGTCGCGTGGACAGTCACGTGAACACCTCCTGTAATAGATTGTGAGGCCTTAAAAGGCACAGGGAAACAACCGAGGTGGGTCCCTCACAGGAGGGTCCCAGCTCAAGCTGAAATAAGTCAGCACTGTGGCAGAACTGGGTCTGAACTCTTCTTTGCACCTGGACTCCTCTCTCTCAGAGGACATTCAAAAAGCAAGGGGGTCCACTCTGAACCTTGTGACTTGGTGGGTCTCCCCAGACTCTTCTGTAACAACTGGAGATATATATTGTAACTACATGCTCCATTTGCTAATAATAGAAAAAAGTTGTTGCCCTGGATAACTGATTACAGCCAGGTGAAATTTACTGAGGCCACTGCCATCACTTAGTGAACACACACTAATTTTCTCAGCTGTATTTATTGAAGGTTGTAGTTTATAATCAAATTTACCCTGCACTATTTTGCTATCATCTTACAATACTATTGATTCTAGAGGAAATCAATCATACTTTAAGAAATATCTAAGAAGCTCGCTACTAAAGAAATGCACTTGACCTCCAATAAAGAAAGCGAAAACGGGAGAAAAGAGTTTAAAAGGAAAGAGGAAAAAGAGAATAAAGGGAAAAAGGGAAAGGAAAAAAAAAAAGGCAAGAGAAAATTATAAACCTTGCAAGAGAATTCAAGACCTAATAATTGAATAGAACAAGGTCTGCAGTAATATTACAAAATAGCATGTGGAAATTATCTGTGCTACTGTTGCAAAGTATCTAATTTGCTTTCTACCTAACAATCAAGGGAAAATCAGGAGTAACAATATATAATACATCATTTTACTTAACAAGGATTACATTCTTAAACTTCATACCTTAAAAAAAATCGACTTGTGTGTATGTGAACAAATATACACACAAATATTTTAATACGCATTTCATTAGCAGCCAAGTATAAAACCAGTGCTAATTCTAAACAAAATCAGAATTATTTTAATTGTTCTAAGAAGTCATAGCAGGAAAATTAATCCTATAATATAATTTACTTACAAATAAATATCTTTGAAATTGATAAAATTAGAATTATTACTTTTAAACTTTATATAATGAATAAATTAAATGCCTTTTCTAAAAACATTTATACTGAAATTAGGTGGATTTTCCTACTTACAGGGAACATGAAATGACTACATCAGTTAAATATTAAAAACTCAGGGTCTTCTAAATTGTCTGATTTGCTGCATTGCACTAAATATTATGCCAATTATTCAACAAAAAACTTCACAAAAAAGGAAAAAAACTCTTTTTATTTCAGTTATGACACAGAAGATAAACAGCAGAGAAGAGTAACAAAATTACATGACCAACAGTATAAAAACTCCAGTATTTGTCACTTTCAGGCACTTTCATAACTCTGAAAATAACACAGTTCAACTGTTTATTTGAAAGGAAAAAATCCCTCCCTTTAGGAATCCAACTTTCTAAAAATTAAGTATGCTTTTAAGTGAATCATCATTCATTTTAACTAGAATAGCTACATTATGATGAGCTGGGCCCCAAGGAGAAATAAGCAATCTCAAATCTCATCACAGACTGCTGAAGGCAGTCACATGACAAAAGACCTCTTCAAAATGGTATTTTTAATGAAGTACCTATAAATCAAGTTTCTCAAGTAGTTTAACAAGTTGCTAATAAATAAAATAGCTGATAATTTCTAACCATGGGGTTACAAAGAACTTGATTCCCTTAACCTTTCTGGAAGGCACCAGGTTCCTGGCATAGCTCTACAGATTGTGTGACTCCTTGAGGAGACAACCCAGCACAGAGACCTGATCTCAGTGAAGCATCAAACTGCTCTGTTTGTGCATGTCATGGAACAACCACGCTAAAGGCAATGAAACCAGCTATCAACGGCTTAAGCCACAGGTCAGGGCACACAACAGGGTTTGAATAAGGAATGTCATACCCAACCCAAATACACTTGCACTGAACAGACATTACATCCTTCAAAACAAATACTGAAAATTACATTTAAACAATCTCAGGGCTGTTTTTTTACATCGCCAGCTTTCATTAGAGCCTTAATAGCTCTAGCCCTCATCTCAAGCTCCAGCAGCTCCAGCTGCTGTGCCGATGGCTGAACATCTTCTGATGGAGGAACGGCTAAGGTTGCTGCTTTGGGCTCCTTCGGGCTGGCCTCTGCCAACCCCAGTATCTCATTCACGCTTTTCTCAATGTCCTTCTGAAGGTCATCTATCTGACCAGCTCCACTTCTGACACTGTTTTCTTGCACATCCGGGCCATCTTCTTCATTGCATGGGCCTTCAATGTCACTGTCATATGCATCTGCATTTATGCTGAGGACATCACTATCTTCTCCCTTGCCTGTAACACAAATGTAACAATCATACAGCTGCCTAACAGAACCGTTTTTCTTTCAACTTACAAAATCTCTTCTGCTTAAAGTGTTCTTCTCCAGATTAAGAGCAGCAAAAAGATCTATGAATTTAAGACAAGCAATTCCTCCTCTTTTTCTCCTCCCAACTTTTAAGGCTGATCTAATTTAGGCAAGTGTTAACACATTTTTATGCCAATTTAGAAGAACATGCAATATAGCAAAGCAGCAGTATCAGGGAAATTTATTCCATCCTATGGAGCTACATGGTCTATTTTCCCAATTAAAATGTCATAACGTTTTGTATCACAAGTAAGCCTCTGCAGTGCAAAATTAATTATTAGTTGTTATCTTTAAAGTAAACTTAATTTGCAAAATGCAATTTTGAAAATGACACTTTAAAACTATTTTAGGCATTTTAAAAGGAGTGGGACACTATAGTCTGGCGGCACAGTTCTAAAAATTAATAGAAACTCCACTTACAGTGCAATTGTTCAGAATCTATCACAAGTATTGCAGAAGTATTTAACTCATTAAAAACATGGACAAAGTTATGGCATTGGCATTTAATGCTGGCTAAAAGTTGGAGTTTATTTTAAAAAAGTAGAAAAGGCAGTGCAATAAAATAAAAGCAAAACTCTAATAGAACCTGAGTAACTGTTCTCACATTTTGGCTACAGACTACTGCTTTTGATACAATGGCCTCAGAAATCATTAGTCCTTCACCAGCCTTTGTATCTGTGGAAACTTACAGTAGCATTGGTTCCTGCTTAAAATGAACAATTTATAGTCAGATGGTAGTAAGGCTACTGATTCTAAAGGCTTTAAAATGGCTTTTGGTAGTACCACTACCCAAAGGTATGGCTGTGTTCCCTGTTAATCAACAATGAGGGTTTAGAGCTAAAGATCTGTGGGTTTGAAATACGTATCATTTCTTACCATGACAATTCAAAGAAAGTTTACATTCCTATGTAAGCTACTTTAGTCTATAATGATTCCATAAATATAAAAAAATATTCTTTTTTTTCTATTTAATATATATTCAGCCAGTATTGCAAACCTGTATTTTTTTACATTTTTCAGATGCAATATAAACAATTCTCTCCCCTTTCAAAAAACAAAAAATAGTAAACCATCTTTGAAATAACATTTTTAGAAGCCTTTGCATTAATGTTTCAGTGTCTTTTATTATACAGGAAATATTTAAAAGTGCAACAAAAAGAATGTGAGACTTTTCTTGAAAACACAAGTGTGAAGTGTAAAAAACACCCCACCCAAATAGTGATTCGTATTTTCTTCTTGAGTTTTTGTGTAAATCCCTCACACTAGGAGGAAGTTCTGGACAAAGATTAGCAGTAGAGTATAGATTAGAAATTGTTCCTTGCTCAAAATCAGTTTAATCAACCAACCTTAAAAGAGACTACTTTTAAAGGAAAAACAAATAAGACTTTAAAAAAAAAATACTACTCTTTTTAAATGTTTTAAAACACCTTTTGGCATGCATTTGGTTTTAATTCATGAGCAGAAAAACCTTATGAAATACCTATTTTTCTTACGGTTTATGACATTCCTGC